CATTCAACTTCAGTGGATTCAGATCGGACATTAGTACTTTTACGAAAACATTACCTAACGTCACCGGTAAGAAAAAAATCTGCGTGTGATCACTGAATTTCACAGAGCTAGCTAGCTCCCTATTAAGTGAATTATACCTACGTCAACTCGAAATTAACTCGCTCATCGTGAACCTTCGATAAGGTATCAAGGAAGTTCCAGACAAGAAAGAAGACTTTATATTGCGTATAAGTTTCTAAAACTTTTGTATATAAACTATCATTTGTAATAACTGTTATTGTAAATTGTATTACTGTTTGTGTATTAAAATATATTTGTATTAAAAAAGAAAACTGTGTGTATCAATCTTGTTGGCAAATATCATAAATTGGAGATATATCGGCATTTACTTAACTACTAAATCTAAATTACAATTTAACTCAGTTTTAGGCAATTTGAAATTGTAATATGTAAAAAGATAAGCTCTAGTATGTTTTCATATATGTCTATATATGTTTTCATCGGTAAACAAAAGATTCACCACCATATTTTGTTTTCATTTGTTGGTAAGCGCAAAGCTACAAAATGGGCTATCTGTGATTTGTCCACCGCGGATATTTAAACCCGACTTTTATCATCATAAGCCTTCAGACTTACCACTGAGCCACCGGGAGAGAGGAGGCATATTTTGCTATCGTCAACATTCGTCATGTTCTGCCAGTATTCACCGGAATATAGTATCGTTTCTTTTTAGAATTCCAAATGAAATATCGCTTATTTTTAGGAAGCCCAGTATATAACTGCGTTTTTTGTTTGTTTGTTTTTCTTCTTTGCAGTTAACTTTCAATAGTGCACGAAGAAGTACTGTTAACTTACAGAGAACCTGATAGTCTCTACTCTATAAGGCCAGGTTCTGACAAAATTGAGTACCAGTACTCCTTCACAATCAGAGTTTACTCGGCTAAAAACAAAACCTCGGTTTGTTCTTATAAAGTCATGCATAATAGGCTTATAGTCAGAATCACACCTGACCACTGACTGAGTCGTTTTGTATTTAAAAACATTGTTTTATTGGATTTTCATAATCTAAAAGCTTAAGATCGATTATGCTGTTTTTTTTGTTTGGTTTTTCTGTTCGGTTGATATGAATGAAATATGTTATATTTAGTGAATATTTTTTTTATATAATTTATAAGTACTAACGCGAACTATAGTATTAGAAGCTTGCAAATTTATTACATTTCTCGAAGTTGCATTCTTTGTAAGTTTGCTATGATATGTAACTAGTCCACATTTCAAACAACTTTAAGATAACACAATTTAGCCTGCTATGTATCGATGATTCTAATGAAGCTTCAAGACATTTTTTTAAACTGAAGAAATTATTTATCGTACGTTTTAAGTAATACATATCTGAAAAGATGAAAACGTTTGAGTTCACTAGCTCAAGAAATAAAACTGTTATTCTATTTATATACTTACATCATGGGAAACGTTTTTCTTTATGAGTTGTCACAGCTCGTAAAACGTTTATATCCAATGAAAGAAATAACTGGTCAGACATGATTCTGTACCGAAAACGCAACATTACTGAAATAATAAACTGGTGCCGGTTATATCGTTATAGTTTACTCGTTATTTTTCATTCGAAAAGGATCAGATATCCCGTCCCCTCTGTCATTTTAAAATTACACCGCAACGATCATGTTGTTTGATATTTCTCAAGAAGCACGTCCTGCAGGTAATTCCGTATTATGTACACTTGTCTAATACATCGATCATAATCAATGAAATGATACAGCTATAAACTACAAACGCTATATTAGCCAATCGAATGTCTGACTTAATTCGAGAATATATATACATAAGAGCATAGATATACACAAGATAAGAAAAGTGTGAAAAAATGACAAACTGTATTTTATATAAGGTATATCAGTCTACTCTAAGATCTAATACGATAACAAATGAACACATCAAGTTCGAAGTTCACTTGCCTGCGTTGTTTAGTTTACGTTCATGGTTTCTTTCTCCTGGATATTGTCCTACCTGATATTAGAGACGGAGTTACTACTGTTCCCTAGTGGTTCCAAGGTGTCCTTTCGCTAAGCCTAGCTTCAGCTGACAACAGTGTAATTAACACTATACACGGGGGGTGGAGATTGTACGTCCTTCATAATTAACATAAAAAGCAGATAGTAAGTCGAAGATGGATAAAATGTTGTGGCACATATCTGTGTAAAAGCTTTACAAATGATGTCACTTCACTGTGCTGATAATTAGTATGCACCGTCATGATTGGTGGATGTAATTGCTCCAACGGGTAACGTCATTGGTGATGATTAGGAAAGGGCGTGACAATAATAGTACGTGATCTATTTTAGAAGACAAAGGTCAGAATTTTTTATCAGTATTTGTTCAATCAGGTAAATTTGTTGTAGACAAACGTAGACAGTAGTTAAGTGGACCAAGCTCAAACGTAATGAGTTGAAAGTAGGGCTGATCCACTCGTGGTAACTGTACGAGGTAAGTAAGCACATGTAAAAACACATTAACACGAATAGCTAAGGTTCATAGTGTTTTTCTTTAAAGGTTTTATCTATAAATTGCCAGAAAAACTGATAAAACCTATGCTCTAAACATTTGAATATCATTTAGAAATAAATATTAACTTTTATCAATAAAAACCATGAGTTACAAATTAAGATTTCAAAAAAAAAAAAAGAAAGATGCACTGAACTGCACCTAAGAACTTCTAATTATGTCCTTAACCTAGAGGCCAGTCTTCGTTTTTGGAATTTTTTTTTTTTTTTTTTTTGGGCCAAAGGTTTTTTTTTTAATTTTTTTTTTTTTTTTTTTTGGGC